CCCTCCACAAACTACAAATCTCAAGATGTTATAGGGCACACCTCAAAGGGCTACGGAGCAATGCAATGGATGCTTCAACTGTGGGTTCCTGGACTGGCCACTGCGGGTAAGACTAGAGGACCACCGAAGTCCCTTCCTCTTCCACTCAAGAGTCAGGTTTGCCAAAAGATGAGCCTTCACTCAAACTGAAGACTACCTCCACTCCAAAACAAGCCTTGCTTCTTTAGAAAGAGAGAGGGGTGCCATCATCACCTCGGCAGGTGCCATTGAGTTCTCTCAGCTCAAAGAGGAAGGTTTAAACCAGGCTTGGGCAAACTTGGGCCCGCCAGGTGTTTTGGACTTCAACTCCCACAATTCCTAACAGCCTCAGGCTTAAGCAGTTGAGAGGGAAAAGGAAGGAGCCTGAGGCTGTTAGGAATTGTGGGAGTTGGAGTTCAAAACACCTGGAGGGCCTAGGTTTGTCCATGCCTGGTTCAAACCATTGTACTCCAGAGAAAGGGAGGAGGAACGATGGAGGGAAAGGTAGGAGCCCTGTTTGGATGTCAATGGGCAAGGAGTGGGCGGCACAAGCTCTGGGATCTGTAGGTCTCTGCTCAGAGCCAGGACTGAAGCAGAGGAGGCTCCGAATGGCTCTCAGCAACAGAGGAATGTCCACGAACAGGCGGATTGGGCCCAGGATGCCCCTTGCACCCCTCTGCCTGAAACCTCAACCCCTGGCCTAAATGGGTTTTTTCTTCATTGGGCGGGTCTGAGGCCTGGCCTGCAGGAGAGACAGCCACTGGTCACTGTCCCGTGAGGCCTCCCTCCCCCTGGAGCTTTGCAAGGCAACCACGGCTGGCTTTTCCATCAGGAAAAACATCGGCTGGGTCAGAACGTGTGGCAAGTTTGCCTGAGACAAACAGATGCCTCCCAATTAATTACTTATTAATCAAAAGTCTCCGTCTCCTGGAAACCTGCTTGGGGGATATTATGGGATGGGTGAGTGGTGAGACACAGCTCTACGCTGGCTTCCCTTTTTTTTCAAGGGCTCTGAATGAGCCAACAGTGTTCCGGCTGCACCTCCATTTGAAATCCTTTCAGGGCTTCTCTGTTTGGCCATTCAGGCGGGGCTCTTCTGCCGCCCCGCAGAGACCAAGGAATTCCCACATAAGGAAACACAGGCCTGCCTTTGCAATCCTTGCACCCTTCTGCCTCCTCCACATTCCTCCCCAGGTCAAAGGGGCAGTGGATCCACTCCAGGGTTTGAGGGAAACCCTAAAGTTAATGCTGAAACTCCTCTTCAAAAGAGAGGCAATACTTTGGAGAAGCCAGGGTGGATCCAGAAGCGGAGGCCCCTGCTTCCCAGAGGAATCCCACAGTTCTAGAACTGGAGAAGCTCCAAGTCCCTGGACCCATGTTGTGTTAAGTTGGCTTGTCTTCCCATCCCCAAAAGCCACAAAGAAAAGAGGGAAGAAGAGAAGGGGGAGAGAAAGGGAGGAAGGAAGAGAAGAGAGAGAAAGGAAAGTGGAAAGAAAGAGAAGTGAAAGAAAGAGAAAAGAGATAAAAGAGAAAAAGAGAAAGGAAGAGAAAGCAGGAAGGAAAAGGAAGGGAGGAGGGAGATAAGGGGAGAGAGAAGGGAAGGGAGCAGAAAGGAAGGTGGGAAAAGAGAGAAAATAGAGCAGGGAAGAGAAAGACGAAGAAGGGAGGGAGGGAGGAAAAGGAAGGAGGGGGGAGGGAAGAGAAGGCAGGAGAGAGGAGGGAAGTAGGGAGGGAAGAATTTATTTATTTATTTATTTCAAAGATTTCTATACTGAGTTTCTCGACCTCATTGAGGGACTCAGCCCGGTTTCCAACCTTAAAAACATATACACTCGTTAAAATATCATCTATCACAGTTACAAAAACAGCTTTAAAATAACACTATGTATAAGAAGAGAGAGGAAGGGAAAATGAATGAGAGAGAAGGCAAGGAAGTAGAACAGAAGGAGGGAGAGAAAGAGAAGAGAGAAGGGCTAGAGAAAGGGGGAAAGGAGGGAAGAAAAGAAGAGGGAGCGAAAAAGGGAGGAAGAGAAGAAGAGAAAGGAAACAGGAAAGAGAGTCAAAAAGAAAAAAGGAAAGGCAGAGGGAAGGGAAGGGGAAGAGAGAAGGGGAAGCGAAGGAGGGAGAGAGAAAGGAAGGATGGTAGGAAGGAAGGAGAAAGAGAAAGTGAGGGAAGGGCTGCCCAGACCAGGAGGAAAGGAAGGAAGGGGAGGAGGAAAGGGCTCTCCGAAAGGAATGAAGGGAGGGTCCTGTCTCCCGATAGAAGAGAAAGGGAGGAGGCTTTCGGGACTGGCCCATTGGAAGACAGAAGTGACCCAGAGGAAGAGAGAAAAGAAGAGAAAGGAAGAAAAGGGAGAAAGAGAAAAGGAGGAAGGATGGCAGGAAGAAAGAGAGGGAGGAGCAGGGGTAGGATCCCATTTTCTGAGCTGCGGAATCGAGTACTATTATTATTATTATTATCATTATTATGATTGTCATCATCATCATCATCTTGAGTTGTATCCCGCCTTCCTCCTGAGAGGGACCCCAGGCAGCTAACAGATCACTTGGAGTTGATGTGAGTTTTCCGGGCTGTACCAGAAGCATTATCTCCTGATGTTTTGCTCACATCTATAGCAGGCACCCTCAGAGGTTCTGAGGTCTGTGGGAAACTAGGCAAGTGGGGTGTGTATATCTGTGGAATAATGTATAGGGTGGGAGAAAGAACTCTTGTCTGCTGGAGACAAGTGTAAATGTTGCCACTGGCCACCCTGATTAGCATTTCTTTCAGACCTCACAACCTCTGAGGATGCCTGCCATAGATGTGGGAGAAACGTCAGGAGAGAATGCTTTGGGAACATGGCAAGAAAGCTCTCAGCAACCCAGTGATTCTGGCCCTGAAAGCCTTCAAGAACATATAGATCAGACATGGTCCAACTTGGGACTTCCCTCCAGGTGTTTTGGACTTCAACTCCCATTATTCTTAACAGCCTCAGATCCTTTCCTTTTCCCCCTCAGCCTCTTAAGCAGCTGAGGGGGAAAAGGAAAGGGACTGAGGCTGTTAGGAATGGTGGGAGTTGAAGTCCAAAATACCTGGAGGGCCCAAGTTTGCCCATGCCTGCTTTGGAGGCCAACCATAAGAAGCCATGGGAATGAATTGGATAGCCCTGCCATGCACAAATCCTCTTGCAAATGTATTGGGCCACCTGTATTTACCTATAGTTCAATTCAGCACTCCACAATTGATGCTGTGGGTCTACCCTGCACAACTCCACCCATCACATGTATTTTTGGGGAAAGAGATTAGAGCAGTGGTGTCCAACCTTTGGTGCCCCAGGTGGTTGGGACTCTGACTCCCAACAGCCCTGGGCAGCTTGGCCAATGGTCAGGAATGTCAGGAGCTGAAGTCCCAAATGTCTGGAGGGTTGCAGGTTGGACACCACTGGATTAGCATCCATGTCCCAGAGAAGGGCAACATGCATAAGTGGGCATCCCTTCTTGGCTTCTCTTTCGGAGACTCTGCTCTTCAGAATTCCTGGATAGGTTGTTGTAAGTTTTTCAGGCTATATGGTCATGTTCTAGAAGCATTCTCTCCTGACGTTTCGCCTGCATCTATGGCAGGCATCCTCAGAGGTTGTGATGATGCCTGCTATAGATGCAGGTGAAACGTCATGAGGGAATGCTTCTAGAACATGGCCATTTAGCCCGAAAAACCTACAACAACCCAATGATTCTGGCCATGAAAGCGACAATAAATTCCTGGATAGATCCAAAGGACATTTCCTCCTTAAAGGAAACTCATCACCCTCTTGACCTGTGAGCAGACTCCCCCTCCCCCCAAAACATATCTCCTTGCTCTTGGCTCTTTATTACCTTGGGAGGGAGCAGACTGGAAGACACAATCTGCTCCCTCCTAACAGATGACCATCTAACCCAGGCATGAGCAAACTTTGGTCCTCCAGGTTTTTAGTACTGCAACTCCCACCATTCCTAACAGCCTCAGGCCCTTTCCTTTTAAGCTTAAGCCGCTGACGGGGGAAAGGAAAGACCCTGAGGCTGTTAGGAATGGTGGGAGTTGCAGTCCAAAACACCTGCAGGGCCAAACTTTGCCCATGCCTGCGCTAGAGTATCTACTTGAAATCCTGTGGTGGCTTCTTGCAGACACCTGGGATTTGTAGTATAAGAAGGGGCCTTCGAACTGCTCAGCCAGAGGAATCCTGGGCTGCACTAAATAACAAACCCCAGAATTCAGCAGGATGCAGCCACAAGGTTCCATGTGGATAGACACTCCAGTGTGAACAAGTCTTCGGTCTCACTTCCTGACTTACATGTACCGAAGGCCTTCTTAAGGTCTGAAGCTTTGAAACCCAGCCAGTGGTCCTTCGCAGTCCACTCCAGCCCTCCAAAACACTCCGCTTCGGAGAGAGAGGAGTCTCCCTGATGACCCTTTGGAGAGGCAGGTAGAGGTAGGTTTTCCCCTGACATTAAGTCCAGTCGTGTCTGACTCTGGGGGGTGGTGCTCATCTCTATTTCTAAGCCAAAGAGCCAGAGTTGTTCGTAGACGCCTCCAAGGACATGTGGCCACTGGCATGACTTCATGGAGCACCAGAGCGGTACCTATTGATCTACCTATTGATCTAGTCACATTTGCATGTTTTCGAACTGCTGGTTTGGCAGAAGCTAGGACTAACAGCGGGAGCTCACCCGACTCTCCGAATTCGAACCTGCGACCTAGGCTGCCACTCTGAGCTGCTGCTTTCTTATTTATTTTCCCCCGTGTCAGGAGCGACTTGAGAAATTGCAAGTCGCTTCTGGTGTGAGAGAATTGGCCGTCTGCAAGGACGTTACCCAGGGGACGCCCAGATGTGGGAGGCTTCTCTCATGTCCCCGCATGGGGAGCTGGAGCTGACAGAGGGAGCTCACCCGCACTCTCCCCAGTATACAGCAATGGAATACGGTCAGCGAGAACCCCCTCCCGCCCCTCCTTCCTCCCCATTCCTGACCTGTACCACTGGAGGCCCTTGTGGTAGTTCCGGTCGAAGAAGTGGGGCTCGGTGCCGACGGCGCGGACGGCGGGGTGGGCGCGGAGGGCCTCGAGGAGGGCGCGTGTCCCGCCCTTCTTGACCCCCACGATCACGGCTTGCGGGAGGCGCTGCTCGCCGGGCTCCGAGGAAGGGGAAGGGGGAAAGGAAGGGCTGGGGGTCCCGGAGAGGGGAGGGGGCGGGGCCTCCGGAGAGGAGGAGGGGGAGGAGGGGGAGGCGGGGGGGAAGGAGGGGCGCGGGGCTGTGGTGGGGTCCTCCGGGGGGCGTGGCCTCCTGGGCGTGGCGGGCGGGGCCTCCTGCGGCGGGGCGCGGGCCAGAGGGGGGCCCCCCATGAGGCTGTAGGCGGCGTAGGTGAGGCAGAGGGAGAGGCTGCACATGCAGAGGAGGCGCCTCCCGCGGCGGGGAGGGGGAGCCTTAGGGCCGCCCGGAGGAGCCGGGGCAGACCCCGCGGGAGCCGGGCCCGAGGACGACGACGCCGCCGCCGGGGGGGCCATGCCTCCTGCCCGGCCCCCGCCGCATCCTGTCAGCCGGACGCCCCCCGACGACGGAGCCCGGCCTCGGGGTCTTGCTGGCGCGGCTGCTGCTGCTGCTGCTTCGGGGGCTGCTTCCGATGCTCCGGGTCCTGGCTCTGCATCCCGCCGTGGCCTCCGCCTTCCGGGGGGAGCCCCGCATGGCCCAGCCCCGGCCCGCCCCTCCCTGGAATCCCCTCTGCTTCCTCTCCGCTTCTCCTCCGAGTGGCGAGGCGAAGCACCCCCGCGAAAGTTTCTGCCGGAGACTGGCCTCGACTGACTGAGGCTGAGGAGGGGGCGGAGCCAAAGCGCGGCGCGCTCCCGTCGAGGAAGCCACGCCCACCCCGGCGCGCTTCAGCCCCTCCCTCCTCCTGCCCTGGTGCCTCTGAGCGCGTGCCGAGCGCCGTTCCCCTTCCCGCCCCAGAGAGGCCGCGGAGGAGGAGGAGGAGGAGGAGGAGGAGGAGCCCTGCTTCCCAGCGCCTCAACTTCCCAACCCAAAGCGGGCTTGCCTTCCTTCCTGGTGCTCCTCGGAGAGGGTGGGAGGGAGGGAAAGGGAGCTCAGCCCTCACTTCAAAAGGCCTTGGGAGGGGGGTATCCCTCCACACACCCCCAGGCTTGGAGTGTGGGCCAGCCCTGGGAGGAAAGAAATGGCCAAGCCCTGAGGGAGATGATGAATACGGGAGGGAGTCTCCTTCCTTCTCTCTCCCCTTCTTTCCTTCTTTCCTTCCTTCCTTCCTTCCTTCCTTCCTTCCTTCCTTCTCCTTCCTTCCTTCCTTCCTTCCTTCCTTCCTTCCTTCCTTCCTCTTCCTCTCCTTCCTTTCCCCTTCCTTCCCTCTTTCTTTTTCCCTTCTCTTTCGTCCTTTTCTTCCCTCTCTCCTTCCTCTCTCCCACTCCTTCCTTCTATCCTTCACTCCTTCCTTCCCTCTCACCTTCCTTTTCTTTCTTTTCTTCCTCCTTCCTTCCCTCTCTTCCTCTTTCCTTTCTTCCTTCCTCTTTCCTTCTTTCCCTCTTCCTTCCTTTCCCCCTCTCCCTCCTCTCTCCTCCCTCCCTCTTCCTTCCTTCCCTTTCTTTCCTTTCTTCCTTTTTTCCCTCCTTCATCCCTCCCTCTTTCCTGTCTTCTCCCTCCCTTTCCTTTCCCCTTCTCCTTCCCTCCTTCCTTCCTTCCTTCCTTCCTTCCTTCTCTCTCACCTTCCTTCACCTTTCTTTCCTTCCTTCCATTCCTCTTCCTTCCTTCCCTCTTTCTCTCCTTCCTTCTCTTCCCTCTTTCCTTCTTCCTTTCTTTTCCTCTTCCTTCCCTTCCTTTCTTCTTTTCCTTCCCTTTCTTTCCCCCCTTCTCCCTCTCTCCTCCTTCTTCCCTCCTCCTTCCTCCCTCTTCCTTCCTCTCCTTTCTTTCCTCCTTTCTCTCCTTCCCTTTCCCTTCTTCTTCTCCCTCCTTCTTTCTTCTATCTTTCCTTCCCTCCTTCCTACACTCTCTCCATCCTTTCCCCTTTCCTCCCTCCCTTCCTTCCTTCCTCTGTCTTTCTTTCTTTCCCTCCCTCTTTCCTTCACTCCTTCCTCTTTCTTTCCAATCTCTTAAAAGGTGCCACCTTCGAGACAAGGCTGAAGGGGAAATGGAAAGGGCCTGTTAGGAATAGTGGGAGTTGAAGTCCAAAACACCTGGAGGGCCCAAGTTGGCCCATGCCTGACCTAAAGCAACACACAACAAACACACAGGGGATTCTCGGTGTTAATTGGGAGAATCCATGCAGGGCACTTTCGGCCAGGCTTCGTCTATTTGGGGCTGGAAGCTTCCAAAGGAGGCTGTACCTTTTCTGTGTGGGCAAGTGTTATGTGAGAAGAACAAGGTGGCCTTCCTTAAGAAAGCAACACCATATCACAGCAGAAGTAGGTAGTACTCCTATTTCGGGGATAGGGCTATATATTCCCTTTCCCTCCATGGCTTTGGGGACAATTTGGATGGAAATGGCAGGTTTTTCAAAGCATGGGCCCAGGGCTAAGGAAAAAGCATACTTTCCATACTTTCTCCTGAGATGTTTCTCCCTATTTCTCATATATTTGAAGACAGCATCTTGGAGACTAGGACAAATGTTAAGCCCTTATTATGGACTAGCTTGGTTACCCAACATTGCCCGATTTTTCAATTGTACAAACTGCATAAGGTTGTAGGTGAACTATAATTCACATAATGCCACGTTAACCCTGAAAAACTCCATCCGAACTTAAAGTTTGTTATGTTGGCCAAGTTTGATCTCGATGCATCATCAGTGGGGTTCAGTGTGCGCTCTGGCTATAGGGTAAACTACAACTCCCACGATGGAGAGTCAGTACCCTCAAACCCCTCCGGTAGGTTCAGTGGCAGGTGTGCCAAGTTTGGTCCAGGTCCATCATCGTTGGAGGTGACAGTTTCTCTGGTTGTGAGGTGAACTACAACTCCCAGAAGGAATGTCAGCCCCCCCCCCCCCCCGCCGCCAACTCCTCCAGTAATCAAATTTCAACATACTGGATCTGTGTCCCAAGTTTGGTCCAGATCCATCGGTGTTTGGGCTCACAGTGCTCTTTGGATGTCGGTGAACTACAACTCCTCCAAATCAACGTGTATCACACACACACACCCCCAAGACCTCCAGTATTTTGTGTTGGTCATGGGGGCTCTGTGTGCCAAGTTTAGTCCAATTCCATTTTTGATAGAGTTCAGAGTGCTCATAGATTGCAGGTGAACTATAGGTACATCCCAGTACCTACAATTCCAAAATGGCCAGGCCAATTCCCCTCAAAACCCACCAGTATACTATACATCCCATCCAGTATTTTTTTGTTGGTCATGGGGACTCTGTGTGTCAAGTTAGTTCCAAGTCCATTGTTGGTGGAGTTCAGAGTGCTCAATGATTGCAGGTGAACTATACATCCCAGGACCTACAACTCCTATAAATCATGGTGAATTCTCCCCATATCTTTCCAGTATGTCCAGTTGCTGATCAATTCCTCTGTGTTTGCTGGGTGCAATAGAAAAGAATTGGAAAGAGTTAAGGGAGATGCAGTGGGCAGGGTCATGCAAATTCCACAACAATGGAGAGACTGAGAAACACTGGGATGTCTGTGGTGGAGGAAAAACAGAAAATCTAGGATGAAATTGTCCCCATATGAAAGCGTCACTTGGGTGACAGGTGGTATTGTGTTTGTGGAGGACATTGGAGGGCTCTTGGCCATGTTCATGGTGCTCACTATAACCTACAATGTCTTTGGAGGGAGGGCCATTGGTGTCTTCTGAGTGGTGGGAGCTATAGCTGTTTGTTGAGGCAGGAGCTTGTCTGTGTAAGTGGACACCCCAGCCACATACTCACATACATATTTTCACTTTTATTATGTAGATAGATAGATAGATAGATAGATAGACAGAAGTCTGCAACTGATCTAATGATGCTGAGTTTAAGAAGAGCAAGGGTTCTCGTTTTAGAAGACCCTTTCAAGAAGCAAAGCACCATCCCCTCTTCCTTCTCTGTCCCTGGTTTGGCTCTAATTGTGGACTGGGTTTCCTGTTTTGGAGACACACTGCCTCTGCCCTCGTGTCCCTCCAAATCCTCTCTGGGAGCGAACCCTTCCTTTGCAGGGATCACTTTCTGAACCCAGTTTCAGCCTGAGATTCATCCTTGTTCCGACCGGGAGCTTTGCTTTTGCATATACGATGTGCAGGGATGGAGCGAATGCATGCAGACACACCAACGTGCTTGCAGGGGGATTTCGAATGCAAATGATATCGCTCAGATATATAGACACGTCATAAAACAAGTTAGAAAGAAAGCATTATACGCTAAGACCTAATGCTTCCCTGGATTCCAGCAAAGACATGAAAATGCTCGGGAATTTTAATAATGTTAATGCACTTCTAATTTCAGTTTTTAAGACCTTAAGGCAGCAGGGTAAGATCGGAGAGCCATAGAACTGAGTGAGCAGAGGTCTCCCTCCAAATTCTGTTTAAACAATGCAAATGAGGGAGACAGGCCCATTTCATGAGGCCCTAAAATGAAGCCATGCTGTGTCAGTGTGGCCCCTTCAGGACTCTGGGGTTTGACCAGATGGACACAATGAGGACCGCAGGGACTTCCACCAGAGCAAGGCCACTGACAACAAACCTCTTTGCCCTGCTTTGCTCATACATCCTCTGAAACTGAGCAGTGTCCAGTCTAAGGACTTAAAACATGGAAGTTTGGGTCGCTGTGAGTTTTTCAGGCTGTATAGCCATGTTCCAGTAGCATTCTCTCCTGACGTTTCACCTGAATCTGTGGCTAATGGCATCTTCAGAAGTCTGTTGGAAGTGAGGCAAGTTGTGTGTGTGTGTGTGTATCTGTGGAATAATGTCCAGGGTGGGAGAAAGAAGCCTTGCCTGTGTAAAGCAAGTATGAATGTTGCAAATAGCAAGCTTAAATATAACAAACAAGGACATCTAATTACCTCTCAACAAAAGTTTGCCCCAGGCGCAGTCAGGCCATTGTATGCTAATCAAGGTGGTCAGTTGAAACATTCACACCTAGCTCTATCAGAGAAGAGTCCTTTGTCTCACCCTGGTCATGCCACAGATATATAAATCCTTTTGCCTAGTTCCAACAGACCTCACTACCTCTGAGGATGCTTGCCAAAGTGCAGGCGAAACGTCAGGAGAGAATGCCTCTAGACCATGGCCATACAGCCCGAAAAAAACCTAAAACAACCAATTGAATAGCATTGTGTAGCCATGAAGCTACAAAGTCAATCAGTGATGGTATCTTCATAGAGGTAGCCTGGCTGTTGTGGCCTGGAAACATCCTCTGTTTGGGAGGTGTTAACTGGCACTTCATTGTTTGTTGTCTGGAGTTCCACTGTTTTTGAGTGGTGTCCCTTATTTACTGTCTTGATTCTGGTGTTTTTTTTTTAAAGATTGGTAAACAATTTTTTGTTAATTTTTATGGTTCCCTCCTTTCTATTGAAATTGTTCACATGCTTGTGGATTTCAATGGCCCCTCCCTGTGGTTACCCAATGCTATTAAAGCTTGCTAATGGCAAGATTTACCCTTGCTTTAGACAGATAAGGGTTTTTTCTCCCACCCTGGACATTCTTCCACAGGTATATATATACACTCCATTTGCCTCACTTCCAACAGACCTCTGAAGATGTCATTAGCCACAGATGCAGGTGAAATATCAGGAGAGAATGCTACTGGAAGATGGCCATACAGCCTGGAAAACTCACAGCAACCCAGTGATTCTGGCCATGAAAACCTTTGACTGCACATTGAACATGGACATTGTTTAGGGGGGAGAAGAAGAACCTAGACATAGAGTCATTTGGGACATATAA